CCCCCCCCCACTGCTGAAGTCTGAGATTCTGAGTTCAACATCATCTACAAGTCAAACTAGAACATGAGGAGTTCCACAGGGAAGTGTTGTGGGTCCTCTGCTGTTTGTGATCTATGAAGGAAATCTGAGGTTTATTTGCCCATCACCCGAACCTTCCTCAGCCTGAGTGGGCGGGGTCATTGTTATAGAGGCGGGCAGGTCATTTTCTGCAGTCAGAGCAGAGATCCAGCTGGATGGAGACTCTCCACGACCGCTGATGTCACACTTGTAGAGGCCTTCATCAGACTTGTTAACATGGTGGATGGTCATGTGACCTGTAGGCTCAGTCCTGATGAGGGAGCCATCTTTATAGAAACCAGCTGGGAGGTTGGAGGGAGGGGTCTCTGTTTTACAGTGCAGAGTGACATCATGTCCCTCCATCACAGGGAGGACAGGACTCTGCAGGATCACTGGTCCACCTCAACAGTCATTTGTATCCTCATGTTTGTGTCTATGTTGTTTTGTAATTACCTTTCAATCCCTCAGTGTGTGCAATCTTGTCTTTCTTGGTCTGTAGGTCCTTCAGCTGCCTCTACACAGGCTGTTACTTTGATCGATGTCTCTGTGTACATATTTTCTTAATGCTAAAAAACAATAAATTCAGTATTTGTTTATATTTCATTCATGTAGCTGAATGTACTCGCTGTGCATGCACAGGCATTTAGTAAGTTGCAGTGAAGTAAGTAAGCAAAGTCAGTGACACAGTTGACTGGATGAATACTTGATGTCCCGTTCACTAACAGACTGGGCACCTGTCACATAGTGAGTAAGCTCATTCATACAGCGGCAGGGTCTCTCCATTCCTCAGTGAACGTTGTTCTCAGTAGCTTTGTGAAAAGGTCTTTAAAGGATCAGCTCACGCCCCACATGTACGCTGAGCGGTCCCTTCATAATACGACTACAGCGTCAGAGATGAAGGACAAAGACCACAGTCCTCGTCCTAAAGTTCTGACGAAACTAAATGAGACACAGAGCAACAAGCAAACCTCCGTTGTACCGTTAAACCTTTAGTTGTAGATGCTTATTTGTTTTATTGAAGGTAAACTCCAGGACCTTGCTTCATTTTTGTCAGAAAGACTAAAGAAATAAATGCTGACAGAGAGACTGCAGACAGGAAGTGATGTCAGGACTTTGGCTGTTTATTTGAGCTGAGTGACACATATCAAGTTACACTTCTTTTATTACCAAATTTCCTCTTCTACAGGGCAGGGTTAGTGGCACAGAGGGGGAAGAAGTCCCCTTGATCTGTGTGATTCAGACTGCTGAAGCCTGTTAAGGTTTGAGCATCAGTCAGTCAGCTGTAGGTAGAGCAGGTTGTTCTTGTTTTCAGTCACAGGCATTATTGCTTATCTGATATAAAAGACGATGTATGAACCCCAAGGCAGGCCGTGATGGTGAGTCCTGCTTGCTACAGTCTCGGCCTCAGCCAGCCGATGAAACATCTGAAGCCAGTTCTGATGATTAAAGTGTGACTTAACATTAGATCCACCTGCGTTTGCTCTATTTTACTATGAATGAAATCAAATGAGTTAATATCAGGAGGAGGTTACATTAAAAATAGACTTCCAGGTTTTAAGGCAGCACCTTGTTTAGTATCAAGAGCAACATGAACATTTGGTGAAGTCATGTGGGGAAGCTTCACTTTGTGCTGAGGAGACTTTGCTGAAGAATCAAATCATTATCAGTGACAATTTGGTGAACTGTGATGCGATATTTATGAAACTGTCAGGAACTGGGCAAAGCAGAGGCAGGGGTGCTCCTCCGAGTGTCTGGTTAGTGCGGGGAGGATGGCGTGGCAGGCAGTAGCATGTTGCTCCTCAGCCAGCACGGTCACGCCCACTGCTACTCCCACTCTCTACAACACATCAACCATCCATTCACTCAAAGGAGAAAATAAATTAAAAAACAAACACATACCAATAGCCACAGCCGGAAGTGCTATCGTGATGAAACCAAATCTGAGGGCCTTGCTGGGGCTGCAGCTTTCATCAGTGTGGAACTGCCAGTAGTAGGAGTAGTATGTTTTTCATCAATTTAATCAAACATACTAGAAATCTATACAAACGTTCATTTTAGTGTCTGAAAAAGTATTTATGTGTTTTATCTTTAAAGTACTATCTCTCTAACATTCATCAAGCCCAATCAGATTCACTGGTTGTACATACAAACATATTTTTAATCTTTTGTTCAGATAAACGAGTGATACTGCATGATAAAGATGGCTCCCTCATCAGGACAGAGCCTACAGGTCACATGTCCATCCACCATGTTTCCAAGTCAAGTGTGACATCAGCGGTCATGGAGAGTCTCCATCCAGCTGGATCTCTGTCACAGGTGAGGAGGCTGCTCAGTAGATATTTTGGTCGGTTGTTAATTTGAGGAGAAGCTCAGCAGGTTCATAAGTTACAGTAGAGTTGATCACATCAACGTGCTGTTGTAGTCTTCACACAAACCAAATCACCAAATCATCATCAAACCAAATACAACCTTAAACGGTGTTACAAACTCACCCGGTGCTGTATCTAGTTTATATTAAAGCAGTGCAGGCGGTGACTGAGTGTGGAAGTGCCCCTGAAGCTTTGTGGAAACAGAAAGCACAGTGACATCTGGTGGCTTGTAGAAGTTATTGCAACTAAAATTTAGGATGAAAACACATCAGTCACTTTATTGGCCAGGTGTATGTACACATAGGAGGAATTTGTCACACCGGACTCACATGTTAATAGATTATATTCATCAAATGCCAAAATTAAGTGGGTGAACAGAAGAAAAATCAAAATCAAATCTCTTTAATTCTTTTTATTATTTCTGTTGCATAATCAAGTGTAAAGATTTACAAATTAAAATGCTCCTCTAAACCAACACATTCTCATCTGAATGCATCATAACTGACAGACAGCTTTCAGACAGCGTGACAAAGGGAGGCTAATTTGGCCTCCCTTGTGTTGCGGGAGGTTAGTTTGGGTCTGCATTTCTACTAACAGAGTTGGGGATTTGGTCAAAATGAATGGTCTCCTCAATGATGACAAGTGAAGGCAGATACTTATTCATCATGCAGTTCCATCAGGGAGTCACCTGATTTATCTTCCATGCATAACTTTCGGTTTACAAATCAGAATAAAAAATCAGATTATGACTGCTCACATAATTGTGGGAAAAGACCAATTATTGTCTGATAATACACTGCTCAAAAAACTAAAGGGAACACTTAAACAACACAATGTAACTCCAAGTCAATCACACTCCTGTGAAATCAAACTTATTAACTGAACACTTAGGAAGCAACACTGATTGACAATCAATTTCACATGCTGTTGTGCAAATGGAATAGACAACAGGTGGAAATGATAAAGCCTCCTTGGCTTTTCAGAGTGATATAGGCAGTAAAAACATTTAGTATGACACTAGTAGAAACACTAGTATGCTAATGAAACCTGAATAAAAACATTATTTAACAAAAGTAGTTAAGGACCCCTGGTTTAAGTTACTATCAGCAGGTTGAAGGCAGGAATCTAGCTTGATGCATATTTGCATAGTAGGCTAGAACAAACATTGTTATCAGCATCATAAATTGAACTTTTGAAAGTTCTACATGCCTTTGAACCACTAACTGTGGACGTGGATAAAAAGATAGATTAAATGTACTGAAATTATACAAATGTCAATGTAAAGGCTATCATTTATTTGAATGCTGATTTTATTGTCTTGTTCAGTTTTTTCATTATGCAGTATAGTAAGCATTTTCTCAATGTAGGGCTATGACAACTAAGATGGTATTTTAGCGTTGTCTTATACATTGGGAAAGATGAATGCTTTAATAAACATGAGGGAAATTAGTTATGAGTTAGGCTATCCCTAACCCCATTTAAGCATGATACTCATAGCAAACCTGGTTTAACCATAATAAAGTAATTGTAGGATACAGTGTGCTGAGAAAATAGGGTTGAAATGTGGTGAGATTTCAAACTCTGCAGACTCAAGCACAAACCAAAGATTATCATTATTTGTTTAAATGTGATAAGAGTGGTTCATCAGTGACTACCCTAATCACCATCTGTTCAACTTCATTAAGAACCAGAACACACTGAACACACTGGATCAGCTCAGAAGTGATGCTCTGTGGTGACATCATCATAGTCATCATCCAATCCCTCCTCAGCCTGGGTAGACGGGGTCATCACCATAGAGACTGGCAGGTCATGTCCTGCACTCAGAGCAGGTTAGAAAGAAAATTTACTTAATTTATCTTCATCTAACTGTCAATCACTGACGTCATTGATGGTGGTGGTGATGGTGCAGTGGATAAGACAAATGTCTTTGGTGTGAGAGACTTGGGTTCAATTCCACCAATGTGCCCCTGAGCATGGAACTTAACTCCTAGTTGCTCCATAGGTGTGCGACATCTGACATATGTAGTAATTGTAAGTTGCTTTGGATAAAATTCTCTGATAAATGTATTGATTGATTTTATGAATTGACTTATTGTAAGACCGGTGAATGATTCAGTGTTACCTGTGGCCCTGTGTCGATATAAAGACACCATGAGGACAGTGGAGATGCAGTACGGACAGAACACCACCAGGTGGCAGATCAGTCTAAACACAAGCTGGAAGGGGGCTGAGGCAGGTGGCGATGGAGGAGGCGGAGTTGTCGGGGTGGGCAGAGCTGCGGATGTGGGCAGAGCTGAGGTTGTAGGTTTACCTGTAGAGAGAATCCCACCTGGTCAGATCAATCTCTGGATGAAATAAGTCCTGAAATCAAAGGTAACCTCCTCACCTGTGACAGAGATCCAGCTGGATGGAGACTCTCCACGACCGCTGATGTCACACTTGTAGAGGCCTTCATCAGACTTGTTAACATGGTGGATGGTCATGTGACCTGTAGGCTCAGTCCTGATGAGGGAGCCATCTTTATAGAAACCAGCTGGGAGGTTGGAGGGAGGGGTCTGTGTTTTACAGTGCAGAGTGACATCATGTCCCTCCATCACAGGGAGGACAGGACTCTGCAGGATCACTGGTCCACCTCAACACAGAGACAAACTACAGCATTTCATCATTTACACACAGCTTCATCAACACTAACTCCACAGTCTGATCTTACCAGTGACAGTGATGCTGATGGTGTTACTGGTTGCTCCCTCTCTGGACTCACACCAGTAAACTCCACTGTCCCATGGGGTGATGTAGCTGATGTAACAGGAAGAACCAGCTGATTTTCCCCAGTCATCACACTGAGTCCTGGTTCCTCTGCTTGTGTTCCTCCTCAGCGTCCATCCAGCAGAGCTGTCGTCCTCCTCACAGCTCAGAGAGACAGACTCTCCTTCAAACAGCTGAGAGCTGCTGGGACTCACAGTCAGAGAGGCTGGAGGAAGAGACAGAAAGATGTGGTTAGAGAGAACATTTGCATTAATTTTCTCCACATTCCTGATATTCCTACTTTCTCACTTCTTCCCTGCTGAACTGATCTCTGTGTTTCAGTCGCTGAGTTTCAGAGAAGAAATCCGAATCCCACTGATTTGATTTTCCCAAATGTTTTCTGCATACTTATAACGTTGGTTGAGGTGTGGCTACATGAGTTTTTTTATTCATTATCTCTTAGCCACTCAGTGTTGCAGTCTGGACAGCTTTGGCAGTGACAGAAGTTTTCTCACCTTGGTTTGTTGTGCAGCTCAGCAGTGAGGTCAGAACTAAAGAGAAAACACACTCAGGTTGGTTTGAGGTTTTACATGAAACAAGACATCTGGACTTTCTACAAAACAGAACAACAGCCACACATTGATATTAGCTTTGGAAATAACAAATTGTATTTTATTAAGGAGACATACAATTTTGATTTAGTTCAATTTCCCCAAACAGAGCAGTCAGGACATGAAACCTTCGACGCAGCAGGAGTGAAAGATGGCGTTGGGGCCTCTCCTACGCATTATCTACTTTGTTCCAGAGAGTTGGATAGCTGAGCTGAAGCCTGTTTCCCTTGTGTATAGGGTGGATTGATGGATTTTAGGTGCCAATAAATGAATAAACCCTGTTTTAACTTGTTTGTTTTTGTGTATTTTAACTTTGTTAAATTATTAATAATTGTGTTTTAAATAGTCATCCTCTGGTCCGAGCTTGGCATGTGTGTGCTTTTCTCTTCTGTAGCACTTCAGGATAGTAAATACCTTTCTGTATAAAACTTTTCTACATGCTTTCAACCTCTTTCTTCTATTTTATGATATACTGTAGGAATAACTACTGTTAACAATTGCAATGAACACTTGCTGTAATGTTTGTGTTGCTTTTTGCTGCCATATTATCAAACAACACTGAAATTCCTGCTCTGTTGTCGCAGTTAACATGTACACGATCTGTTTGGCTGATTTCTGTCTTTGTATTCATGTTGTTCACTCTATAACTCGCTGTTGCTTTCAAAATCACCAGAAATGTTTTAGACCTAATCTTTGAGACAACGTGGAGACAAACATTCACACATTAAGTAGATTCTTGCTTACCTAGCAGCCGCGGTAAAGATGATTTCTCCATTTTAACTCTCGGCCATCTGAGATCAACACATTAACGTTCACCAGTCAAACCAAGTAAAACCCTCCTCCTTCCTCTTTGTGTGTCACTCGTACTCTTGTGGTTTTCTCACATAGTTAACAGGAAATAAACTTTATGTTGAGGCTCAAATTGAAAAACTGACCAGGTTGTGCAGAGGCACAGTGGTGACACTTACTGAGAGACAAATCACATCTTTTGCCAATTTAGTCTTTTATAGACAGCATGTATTAACTTGGTATTTGTATATAATTTACCAAACAAATATACATCTATAAACATACGATGCACAACATATGATCATGTGGCAATAAATAAAGGACAATTGAAAAATAGAGACATGTGGTTTGTTCTTGTCAGAAACCCAGTCATAGTCACCAGCTGTGCTCATGTTTTTACACTGTACCTTCATCATCATCATCATTCAACCTCACCCCTGTATTCTGGCATGGCTGCTGAACATTGACTTTGAAGCCAAAAGGCTCTCAAGACCGACAGGCCTGTAAAAGTCCCCCCAAGAAATTCATATATTTTGTTATATTTACTTTTACTTACGGGTCACCTGACCCACCTGTCTGTCTTTACTTAGTTTATTTCTTCAAACAGAGAAACAAAAAAAATGAAACAAAATTGGACAGTTATTTTAATTACTTTTTTTTGATTCATGGAAATATGGCTCTGTTTTTTGTTTCTTCACTTTTAGGTCCATACAAAAAACAAAACAAAACAATTATAAAAACAAACTATTCAAATGTATACCTCTCTTCCCGACTGCTGACCTGACTCATGACTTTTAGGGGGCAACTTTATGAATGCCATCCGCAAAAATGGCTAGTAAGAGTGACTGTGGCAGCCACTGCTGAATTCAACCCACGTTTTCTTCATTTTGTACATAAGCACATGTCCTTATTACATCTGTTGTGTTTAACACCTCTGTTTCACCATGTACCGTTAGCCCCGTAGTATAACACAGAAACTCACAAGTTAAGGCAAACATTGGCAACAGGCTATGTACCACAGTACTTTAAAGTAGCTGTAATTAAACCTCTTCCGCTTTTGATCGAGGGGTTTTAGCAAACTGTAAACCTATATTTAACCTTCCATTTCTCCAAAGATGCTTGAGAAAGCAGTCGCCAAACAGCTGTGTGACTTTCTACAGAGCAAGAGTTTATTTGAGGATTGTCACTCAGGATTTAGAGATCATCATAGCACAGAGACAGAATTGGTGAAAATTACTAATGACCTTATCCAATACAAATATTATTGACATTTGTGAATCGATCCATAATCGTCCAAGTCCCCATCGCGATGCATCTAAAAATCAATTATTTCCCCCACCCCTAGTAGAGAGTGGCTGAGTCCAAACAAATCCATAAAGAAACAAAATCAAAACAGCCAATCAAAATCAAAAGAAGGCAAAAGTGCAACAAAGATCCACAAACAAAACAAGCAAGATTAAAAACTGGAACACATTTGAAAGAGCACAACAAGCTACAGGATCTGACAAAAGGGAACAAACAAACCTACCGTTATATAGAGGGGGCAGGGTAACTGTAACACAGGTGAGACACATGGGACTAATAAGACTGAACAGAAACAAAGCTAGACAAAGACACCGGACGCTCCAAAACAAACCAGGAAGTAAAACTCACAAAGACGCACGAGGGCGACTTAAAAAAATAAAAACAGAGCACAGAAACAAACGAACAACTGACAAAAAAACAAGAACACAGGAGGCGGGGAGTGATAAACACAGGAGGAAATGGCAGAAACACAACAAAGATGAACAAATAAAAAGCCAAACTCAAAACATGATACATCCTCTGTATAACTTGCAACTTAGCATGACAGAGACTGAGGTTTGGTCAGTTTTGTGAAGTTTATTGAAAACTTTTAAAGTAAATAAAAACCCTGTTTTAAAACATCTAAACCAAACAAGCAAGAGTAACAACAAAACTCAAACCAGAACCTGAACCTGAGCTTTCATTTGGACCAAAAACATGTCGACAGCTTTGTCCATTTGTCCAGGGGTCTGTATCATGAAATCTGAGGTTTATTTGCTGATGACGCAAACATTTTATCTTCATTTAAGAACCACAACACACTGGATCAGCTCAGAAGTGATGCTCTGTGGTGACAGCAGTGATGATGTCATCATAGTCATTATTCAATCCCTCCTCAGCCTGGGGGGGGGCGGGGTCATCACCATAGAGACGGGCAGGTCATTTCCTGCAGTCAGAGCAGGGTAGAAAGAAAATATCAATCAGTAAGCATCAGCTAAATTAATAAAGGTAATGATTGATCTATTAATTGATTGATTGATTGATTGTAAGGTCAGTGAATGATTCAGTGTTACCTGTGGCCCTGTGTCGATATAAAGACACCATGAGGACAGTGGAGATGCAGTATGGACAGAAGACCACCAGGTGGTAGATCAGTCTAAACACAAGCTGGAAGGGGGCTGAGGCAGGGGGTGTTAGAGGAGGCGATGGAGGAGGCGGGGTGGGCAGAGCTGCGGATGTGGGCAGAGCTGAGGTTGTAGGTTTATCTGTAGAGAGAATCCACCTGGTCAGATAAATCTCTGGATGAAATAAGTCCTGAAATCAAAGGTAACCTCCTCACCTGTGACAGAGATCCAGCTGGATGGAGACTCTCCACGACCTCTGATGTTACACTTGTAGAGGCCTTCATCAGACTTGTTAACATGGTGGATGGTCATGTGACCTGTAGGCTCAGTCCTGATGAGGGAGCCATCTTTATAGAAACCAGCTGGGAGGTTGGAGGGAGGGGTCTTGTTTTACAGTGCAGAGTGACATCATGTCCCTCCATCACAGGGAGGACAGGACTCTGCAGGATCACTGGTCCACCTCAACACAGAGACAAACTACAGCATTTCATCATTTACACACAGCTTCATCAACACTAACTCCACAGTCTGATCTTACCAGTGACAGTGATGTTGATGGTGTTACTGGTTGCTCCCTCTCTGGACTCACACCAGTAAACTCCACTGTCCCATGGGGTGATGTAGCTGATGTTGCAGGAAGAACCAGCTGATTTTCCCCAGTCATCACACTGAGTCCTGGTTTCTCTGGTTGTGTTCCTCCTCAGCGTCCATCCAGCAGAGCTGTCGTCCTCCTCACAGCTCAGAGAGACAAACTGATCTTTAAACAGCTGAGAGCTGCTGGGACTCACAGTCAGAGAGGCTGGAGGAAGAGACAGAAAGATGTGGTTAAAGAGATGATTTGCATTAATTTTCTCCACATTCCTGATATTCCTACTTTCTCACTTCTTCACTGCTGAACTGATCTCTGAGTTTCAGGCACTGAATTAAACTCAGATTTGAGCTGATAGATGAAAGTTTTCTGCATGTTTTCAGTGTTGGTTGAGATCTGGCAACATGTTTGTAAACATCTTTTTTATCTGTTAACCACTCAGTGTTGCAGACTGCACACCTGTGGCTGTGACAGAAGAAGTTTTCTCACCTTGGTTTGTTGTGCAGCTCAGCAGTGAGGTCAGAACTAAAGAGAAATCACACTCAGGTTGGTTTGTGGTTTTAACATGAAACAAGACGTACTTCTACAAAACAGAGCAACCTGTTTGTAGAAAACCACCACACATTTATATTAGATATGGAAAAAACTCATTTTATTTACATACACATGCAATTGTTTTTAGTCCAATTTCCACAAACAGACCATGTCGGAATGTGTTTCGAAGTGTCCTTGGGCATAGGGGCGATTTTTTATATTATTTTCTATCCTCCAATTTTAGATTTTGGAGAAGCAAGAGAAGGGATAACCAATTAGCCTACAGTTTGATATGGCTTTTCTTTTATTAAACGGATTTAATGTCCCTGAATACTGACATTTTTCAGTTTCTAATGTTTTACTGAATGATCCGTAACCGCGCTGGCCAACAGGTCAGCTTTTGCGGAACGCTGCTTGTGTGTCTGTCTCTCGGGGCCAAACTAATACTTTCAATATTGAGGAGGGATACGAGCGGCCCCTCCCAACTTGCCTGAATTCTGATTATCTCAACGGCGCCGATGAGAGGTGTTTACTTTCCCTCTGGGGCGAGTTTAATCCAAAAACCTTTTACACCGGTTTGCTACATTTGTCGGGGCTGAACTCAGC